GGGAGCAGAAAGAGTGGGAATAGGGGATAACTTACCTTCCTTTATCTTATGAGTCTTGACAGGACCAAACTGGATAATGTATAACAGCTAAAATTTAGCTCTTGGTTATTTATATATATTATCTTATTATCTCATTTAATTACATACATTATCTCATCTCATTCAATTGAACCTAGGGGTACTCTATCACTGAGCAACATTCCCCTACCCTTTTTATTTTTATTTTGAGACAGGTTCTCAATAAACTGTTGAGGCTGGCCTCAAACATGCCATCCCTTCCTGTCTCAGCCTCCTGCATTGCTGGGAGGCTTCATTTAATCTTTAAACCAACCCTACAAAGGAAGAATCATTTACAGATTAAGGTAAACAAATGATCTGCCTAAAGCAATATAGCTAGTTATTAGCAAAACATGGAACATGTTTTGTGTTCCACTCCTTGTGTTCAATAATCTATCTATTCTTCACCAACACCAAAATCTCTTGCTTATTCTACCACTGTAGTAAGTCTTGAAGTCACATCATTTCAGTCTTCTGAGTTCTTTAGTTCTATGCCAAGAAGTGTTACAATCTGATTTAAAATTTTAGCTGTTCTATGAAAAAATTATATGTAGGAGTACAAACAAGGACACCAGTTAGCAAGCTATTTAATAGTCTGGGCAAAGGCTAATGTTTACAAGGACTAAAGCAGCAGCAACTAGGAGTGATGTGGTGGTAGAAAAATATTTAGAAGGTAGGCCTGACAAGAATTGCTAGTAGATTAGATGTGGGATAAGAGAAAAAAGCACTCTTTAGGTTTTTCAATCTTAGTAACTGAAAGAAAAGTGTCATTTACTGAGAGAAGACTCAAGAGATAGCAGTAATTTTGGATAATAAATCAAGAAGAGTTTCAGGACATGTTAAGTTCAAGGTGTCTATACAAGCAGGTGTCCAGCAGATATAAATGTGGACTTCAGGACAGAGATCCAGGCTGGCCATGTAAATGGCGGGTATCTTTGGCACATAAGTCATATTTAAAACCATTGGATTATTATATTACACTTTTTTTGCCAATTTTTTCTCCATTATTTGCATCTTGCTTGGTATTCTGTTTCACAAATAAGCAATGAACAGAACTCTTCAGTTACTAATAGAGGAAACACTATCAATATAAGCATTATACTTTCAATGAAGTACACACTTCAGTTATTTAACAAATACCTATATTACCCACTAGAGTTGAAAATGTAATTACAGAGAATACAAAGCAGTATCTGGAATTTCTCTCTACCTCAAACTTTCCTTTCAGTAACTATAGTAAGCAATGTCAATTAACCAAACTAAATTTCAAGTACAAAACCATTTAATTTCAAACCATATGCATGGTCTATGTTGTTCACAGATCTAACAAATTAGTTGTAAGTCTGAAGTCAATAAAAGCTTAAAGCAAATATGAATGATGAAAAATAAGCAGTGAATAAATCATTTTCAACTATAGCCTATTAACAAATTGGAATTTCACTGGGAAATTTTGTTTTAATATTCATAGAATACCTGTTTCAACAATTCTACTTCTAAGAATTTATCCAAAAGTATGTACTGGACCAGTATACAAAGACCTATGTGCTAGGATACTTACTAAAGCTTTATTCATAATAATGAAAATCTGGAAAAGGATCTAAACTACCACCAATGAGACTGATTAAATAATAAATAAAATGAAATAATATTAGTAAATGTATTATATTGCTACATAGATATAAATAAGGATACGAGAAATTTTTCATGATAATGACTGAGTAGAAAAAACATTTTAAAAATAAAGCCTAGGGGCTGGGGTAGAGCTCAGTGGTAGAGAATTCACGTGAGGCACTGGGTTCAATCCTCTCAGCACTACATAAAAATAAAATAAAGGGGACTGGGGTTATGGCTCAGTAGTAGAGCACTTGCCTAGCAAGTGCAAGGCCCTGGATTCAATCCTCAGCACCATGTAAAAATAAATAAAATAAAGGTATTGTGTCCAACTACAACTAAAAAATAAATATTTTTTTAAAATAAAAAAAATAAAAGTATTGTGACCATCTACAACTAAATACATATAATGTGTGTGTGTGTGTGTGTGTGTGTGTGTGTGTATAAGAAAGCCGGGCTCCATGGCGCATGCCTACTAGGGAGGCTGAGGCAGGAGGATCATGAGTTCAAAGCTAGCCTCAACAAAAGAAGGTGCTAAGCAACTCAATGAGACCCTGTCTCTAAATAAAAACACAAAACAGGGGTGGGGATATGACTCAGTGGTCGAGTGCCCCTGAGTTCAATCCCTGGTACCTCCCCCCAACCAAAAAAAAAATAATGAGAATAATAATAATATGATAGATAGATGTCTGGGAAGATACACAAGAAAAAAA